TTTAACTATAGAAATATATTTTGTTTATTAAAACAATGTACATGTTAAGAGGCGTTGCTCGATGTCCTGGTGCGATGTCAAGACAATCCTCTTCATTCCACAGTAGTGTGTGCTGTCTCGCAGCAAGAACTTCAGACTCGGGCGTATATTCGGCGGAGATTGCTTCGATCCGATTAGCAGGATCATCTTGAAGGCCTTCATCTGATGGCAATGCAGGCTGCAGTCTTGACAAATCTATTTTGATATCGTACAAACGATATAGACTTGAATTTTGAAGTACATCTAACCATTCTTTGACCGTACGCTTAGACATGTACCCGCTGATGTAATTTGTTCTGTGTGCAAGATTCCTTTTGATGTTAACGTTGATAACATCGTCCTCTTCTAGATGGCGAGGCAAGCATTTTACCATGTCTTGTACGTTGACTGGGACGTTTATCACTTGTCCAATAATTCCATAAGAGAAATCATGACGCAGTCGACGCACTTGCATAAATGGAAGGCGCGGTGAGACCAAACGTTCACTGATAGGATCCAGAGGCGGTAGACCTGGAGGTATGTCAGGATATGAGAAGCCGTTGACCTTTGCGAGAGTAGGAAGCTTACGCTTATTCAGTGATTGTCTACAGGTGTTGCAAGACTTTGTATAATCCTCCTTGCGTAGCTGCCGATTTTCCTTAACGTACCAATCCGAGATTACCTTCAGTTGTAGTGCAGTGATGGTTTTAAGGTCATTCTTGAACCACAATCTGTCACAAACCGAGCAAGCATGGCCAAAATCGTTGTCCAGGAAAGTAGATTGAAATCTCCGTATTGACGATGACCATTTGGTATACCAGGTGGATTGTTCCAGTTGTATTGCTGTTTGGCTTGAAGAAGTAGTCGGTTGTACATCAGTCCGAGAAGATGCTGCTCTACGTTGTCGGAATGCACGTTGCCGTTGAGCGTTAGTTAGGGGAACGCTCGTTCTCTCCGCCACGACAGGAACGCTTGTTCTCTCCACCACAGAACAAGACGTTGAAGCAGGTGACTCTGACGTACCGCTGGTGAGGGCTATGTTAGCAGATTTACGTAGCTTGAACCTGCGTTGCCTCTCCGCAGCCGCTTTTGCAAAGGCTCTTACTTGTTCAGGAGTTCTGGTCAATGCTTTTCGTAGTCTGTACTCACGTTGTCGCTGAGCATTCGTTCTGGCGGTAGAGGTGGTGTGTGGAACAACGAAAGGTACTGCAGACGTTGACGGCACGATATCCTCCGTCTCCATTGAAGTACTGGAAGTTGAAGGCACCGTTTCCATTGTTTTGAGAGTGGTGATTCCTGTTGAACATTTGAAATTGAATGGATGAATTTTTAATTTTAAAGAATCAATTTGAAAATCAAAACACTTATTCAGATCGAAGGTTCAAATTTTTGCTAAATAAATTTGAAATTAAATAAAATTTGTAATTGTAAATGATGAAGTTGAAAATTAAAACATTTACTTATATTAGATGTTAAAATTCTTGCTCAACACAGTTTAAATAAAGTTTTCTTATATCTGCCACTTTTTCTTAATATTTGTAATTTTAAATAATCAATTCGAAAATCAAAACATTTATTCAGAACGAAGGTTCAAATTTTTGCTAAATAAATTTGAAACTATTTAAAATTTGTAAAATAATAATTAATTAATTAATTAATTTTAAACTAATAATTTACTTAACACTATCAACATTTATCAATAGTATGACATAACCTATAAACTCAGTTTCTCAACTTTTGTGTCAATCTAACAATTAATCAATCAATCATAGTTTACGATAATGAAATATCAGTGTACAATTATTTACCTTTATTGTTGTAGTTGTTGTAAATGACGAATCTAAGCACTCCACATTTTCACTACAGACACAGCTGACGATACTTTAACCACACGTGTGAACTTGTATTATGACGCTTTCTTGTTTTAAGACGTTGTCACGTCAAAAAAAAAAAAACATATATTTTATTTTCATTCATTGTTCTACATTTTTTTTTTACCATAGATTTAGCTATAGGAAAAATAAAAGTGTCCAGGGGCGGGAATCGAATCCACAACCTTCCGCTTACCGGGCAGATGCCATGTCCACTAGGCTACCCTGGACGTATTTTTCCGTTCGTAAATATAAATAATAATAATTTTATTTTTCCGATCGCCATTACTCTTCATATTTTCACCCTTTCATACTTCATTCAAAAAAGTTAGAAATAGTAAATATTTATCTTTGAAATAAATATTGATTTTTCACAGAAAAGAAACTTATGCGGTGAAACTTTAAGTTGTTTTATAATCATACGTCGCAGTCCCTTATAATGTATAGATAGTGTTGTCTTAGGTTATGGTTAGGTATGTATAGATAGTGTAGTCTTTTCCCCTTGTATGGAGATTACACAAATTCAATGAACCCATTCTCCTCCAGCTCTTTATAGAGGGTGTTGTTGTTTCCTATATTTCCTTATGTATACATTACATACCGATTACAATTCCATACGTTGGTTCCATATGCTTAAATTGAATATTACACCTTAGTTCTATATATGTTATCGCTTAAAAGAGAACAAAACAAAAAAAAAAAAGAAACTACAATTGCAAATGATTTGATAAATAACTAAGAAAAAAAGGTAATTGCAAAGTGATGATGATAAAAAAATTGAATATGTCTGTCAGAAAAATGCTTCTATGAATTAAAAATAAGAATAATTACAAAATTAATATATAAATTTCAAACACTGTCCTTACTGTAATGAAAAATTAATGGGAGTGCCTTGCTCATCAGTGGTGACCCCTCCCTTTCACCTTCCATTGCAGTAAAGGCAGTAGAAATTGTTTAATTTGTAAAAGAACCATACGCGTCTATAATAGTTTTGAATTTTCATAACAGATGTCGAGCTAATGCATCACAATATTTATATAGTTTATATTCATTCCGACAAATGGCGAAGCAATCAGTAACTTCGATTTGCATTATCAGAGATGCCTTTTTCTCCAATATTTCTATTTGAACTCATTATACAATTTTTTTTTCATAAATTTGTGGCGACCACACTTTGCTTCAGCAAGCGCGAACTGGGACAAAGCTTCACTACACATACGGGCAGTATTGTGACGGCCTCACTACGCATGCGCGGGCGGCATCCGGGACACCCTGACCACGCACGTCGTCAACAACAAGGCTTGCTTCCAACGGCCGTTATTTCTTTCCTCTCTCTTTATTTCTGGCTTCAAATATATTAATTTATTTAATAAAAATAATTATAATTTTATCAGCAACCTTTACACAAGCCACACTAAATTCTTATAATGATTTAGAGAATAAAATCTATCCAGGTAATATATTAATCAAGATTATATGAGGTAAGATAAGCGCATCCAATATAAATTTAAGGATTATGGGGAGAAAAAGTTGGTAAAAAAAAACATTAAATCGAGTCAATAAGTAATATTGGCATTGATTTATCTCTAGCCATAACGTTTTATTGCCTCGTATTTATTTTCAGACTGTAACGGTAGGTGTGGACAAATCTTGTAAAATGTTGCCATTTACACCTTCAAATTGGGTAGTTTTGACTTTTTGACCCTCGTTACTATTACTTCAATATCGTATTTGATAAAATTATATTTTAATATAGATAAATAGAATGAAATATATTTCATTTTCTTTATTTTATTTCAATTTGAAGAGTTATGTCCCCCTAAGGAGACTTACGCTGTCATACATGTATTCCTTTACATTTGTCTATATATATTTTTTTAATTTTAAGCCGTGAATAGGAGAGTCATATGATGTTAACAATGAGAAAGAGAGAAAAAACGAGAAAAAAAGAACTGTGTTCAAAAGAAGGAAGTGTCTGGCAATATGTACAATCAACATAATATAAATTATCAGTTTCTTAAAAGATATTTGCTGCTATATAATTTAAAACATATCTACAAAAGGTATTGAATTTAGTAAACATTTCTTTACTGGAAATAAAAATACTTAGATCAGTTACTATTAAATTATTTTCGATTCTGTAGTCTTGAAAAACAGAACAATCTAGTAAAAGATGTATTGAGGTAAATATATTTCAGTTTGTAATCACTTTTATGTGTGTTTAAATATTTTTAGAAATTTTTACAATATTTGTATGCTTGTTCCAAAATCACTTTATTAGGTACCGCTCAAAAAAAAAGCAACCTAGTTTATGATATTTGCAACAGTGAATAATAAATTGAGTAAAATTAATCAGGTTTCCAGGGATTAGTGTATTTTCAAAACATTTTTATTCTCTAGCTTTCGGGCCCGGACGTTTTTCTAACAAGTTTTCCTCTGTAGAAGGACGTCCGTGCCCGAAAGCTATCCCTGTAGGCCTGATCAATTTTACTCTATATTGATATAAGGGATTATTTAATTGAATGAATAATATGTGAATGTTATCTTCTTATTCTTCTTTCTTATCTCCACACTGGGTGATGTAGAATGCATCTGCCTTTGTCATTAAGACTGGGAGCACTACTCAGTAGCAGGCCAACTTAGCTAAATAAATAATGAACAATACTTAAAATTATACCGCATAAGTTTCTTTTCTATGAAAAAATCAATATTTATTTTAAAGAGAAATATTTACTATTTCTAACTTTTTTGAATGAAGTATGAGAGGGTGAAAATATGAAGAGTATTGGCGAACGGGAAAAATAAAAGTGTCCAGGGGCGGGAATCGAACCCACAACCTTCTGCTTACCGGGCAGGTGCCATGTCCACTAGGCTACCCTGGACGTTATTTCTCCGTTCGTAAATAATACTTAAAGTAACTTATAATACATTATAAAGGACTGCGGCGTGTGATTATAAACAATACTTAAAATTATACCGCATAAGTTTATTTTCTATGAAAAAATCAATATTTATTTTAAAGAGAAATATTTACTATTTCTAAATTTTTTGAATGAAGTATGAGAGGGTGAAAATATGAAGAGTATTGGCGAGAACGGGAAAAATAAAAGTGTCCATGGGCGGGAATCGAACCCACAACCTTACGCTTACCGGGCAGGTGCCATCTCCACTAGGCTACCCTGGACGTTATTTCTCCGTTCGTAAATAATACTTAAAGTAACTTATAATACATTATAAAGGACTGCGGCGTGTGATTATAAACAATACTTAAAATTATACCGCATAAGTTTCTTTTCTATGAAAAAATCAATATTTATTTTAAAGAGAAATATTTACTATTTCTAAATTTTTTGAATGAAGTATGAGAGGGTGAAAATATGAAGAGTATTGGCGAAGTAGCCTAGTGGACATGGCACCTGCCCGGTAAGCAGAAGGTTGTGGGTTCGATTCCCGCCCCTGGACACTTTTATTTTTCCCGTTCGCCAATACTCTTCATATTTTCACCCTCTCATACTAAATTCAAAAAAGTTAGAAATAGTAAATATTTCTCTTTAAAATAAATATTGATTTTTTCATAGAAAATAAACGTATGCGGTATAATTTTAAGTATTGTTTATAATCACACGCCGCAGTCCTTTATAATGTATATAAATAATGGCCTTCTCTGACATGAGGAACAGACACCATGTGCAGCCGATCCTAACATGGAGTACAAACACTGCTCATCCTGTATCCCTGGATTAGGAGCCCTTACAGGGTACTATCAACCGGGCCGGCAAAGGCGGAGTTTGTGAAGGTTATTAAAATATTAAACAAAATGTTAACGCGGGAATCGATCCTGGTTAATGGCTTTCGGGAATCGAGGGTATTACCCAATCGTCCACCAATATTTTGATCGAATATATTTATATATATATTTAATAAAACTAACATTACATATGTATTTCTATGATAAATAGACACTTCGGCCAGTTAAAGTTTTTTTGAAATATATTTTCAAGATCATAGTCTTTGACGAGTTTAATATTTGGAGAAAATGAAAAACTCTAACAGGCCGAAGTGTCTATTTTTCATAGAAATATGAATTCCGGCCAGTCAACCTCTATCTTCAGGATTACAAACGAGATAGTTAGTATACTTTGCAGATATACCTTCATGGACTTATGTACCCGTAGAAAGGTGTCTTGTCCGAAAAAGAAGCCCTTCTTCCCGACTTGTGCTACGTCTTATATAAAGAAATGCTATGTCTGATTAGTATTTTCTTATTTAATAATAGAAAATGTCTTTTTTTTTTCCTCAGCTTATGTCTATCACTTGCTCCCTTTTTTCATAGCATAATAATGAATGAAAATTCAAAACTATTATAGACGCGTATGATTCTTTTTGAAAATTAAACAATTTCTACTGACCTTAATGAAATGGAAAAATTAATGGGAGGGGCTGTATTATCAGTGGTGAACCCTCCCAGCGGTTTAGCCAGTTTAATTTACCATACCGCTGTTATATTGCATTTTTCGATCTTCCTTTTATAGTGATACTTATGCTAGACTCTTTGAATGGGTATTTTAGATGAACTATGAACATAAGCTCTAAGGACAGTAGAATTACATATAATTATAAATATATAATTTATAAAAGATGCTAATGCATCATAATACTAATGAATGAATGAACGTTTATATTATATCATATACAACGGATATTCGCATATAATATATATATATATATATATATATCAGGTAAATATTTCTATAATATTATTAAAATTATTATATTTCTATATTATGATGAATTAGCGAGCCATCTGTTATGAAAATTCGAAACTATTAATATTTTTGACGCGTATGATTCTTATAACAATTAAACAATTTATACTGCCCTTACAGCAGTGGAATTAATGGGAGGGTCTGGCTCATTATATATATTTTTAAATAATAAATACCAAAATAGATTTGCATATCGTATCCAAATTGATTAATATTCATTATAAAAAATAAATGAAAAGAAGAGAGAAAGAGAGAAAACATTTAGATCTTTAGCTAAAAGGCCTTGAGAGAGAGATGATATGATAATATAATATTAGGATCTATTTTCACTATGTTCAAATGGTTAGAATTCTTTGATCCCAATCAGAATCAACAACAAGTCTCCAAGGATAAATGTCTTCTTTTATTACCAACACTTCGATCTTTCGGGTATAACGACCCTTCACTAACTCCGCCTTTGCCAGTCCCAAGCCCGGATGAAAAAGGAGGAGGGGGAGAAGTAACAAGCTCACTAAAAAACCTGGGCTCAGCTGGCCCGGCTGATAGTACCCTGTAAGGGTTCCTAATCCAGGGATACAGGATGAGCAGCGTTTGTACTCCATGTTAGAATTGGCTGCACATGGTGTCTGTTCCTCATGTCAGAGGCGGCCATTTCTTTTGGAGCTAAGTCGGCCTGCCACTGAGTAGTGCTCACAGTCTTAATGACAAAGGTAGAAGCATTCTACTTCCCACAGTCATTATGGTTGTCAAACAAGCTTGATACCCTAATATGATTTAGTGGAGATAAGAAAAAAGAAGATGACCCTTCTACTGGAATATCGATATGAGGAATAGGATTCGATATCCCTGTAGAAGGGTCGTTATACCTGAAAGCTCGAAGTGTTGGTAATAAAAGAAGACACCTGTCCTTTAAGACTTGTTGTTGATTTTAACTCTATATGTTTAAATGGAAACGAATGATCCAATATTACATATATATGATTGTAGAACGAGATTTGACAATTATCCCGCATGTGTTTCTTTAGAAGAAAAATCGTAATTTATTTTGAGGAGAAATAACGATTATTTCTAACACTTTAGAGATGATATATGATATGATGAACTCTTCACAATTCATCCTTTCATACTTCATCCCTAAGGTTAGAAATAATTGTTATTTCTCCTCAAAATTAATTACGATTTTTCGTTCAAAAGAAACATTAGCGGTGTAATTATCAAATTTCGTTCTACAATCATAAGCCGCATTATATTTTATTATATATATAAATGAGTGTAATCTAATGAAGGGATGGATGTGCTGTAAATAGAAGAGTGTAAATGGGGTAGATTAAGAAAGGGTCTATTGGTTGAGTCTGAAGAGCTGAGGAGAGGTTTAAATTGAGGTGGAAACAGGATAATCCTCTTGTAATGGGCGATCCATCCTTTGTCACAGTCAGGCTTTGGGCGATTATGGCTGGATACGTATTGTTCCCACACCTGCTCTGTGTTAATACCACTCTTCCTTCATACTATAGTGGTGTAGTATTTGTCTTCTCTATTCATCTATATATTGTTACGGCTAGGATTTAGGTAATTATTGAAATATATTGTTTCCACACCTGCTCTGTGTTAATACCACTCTTCCTTCATACTATAGTGGTGTAGTATTTGTCTTCTCTATTCATCTATATATTGTTACGGCTAGGATTCAGGTAATTATTGAAATATATTGTTTCCACACCTGCTCTGTGTTAATACCACTCTTCCTTCATACTGTAGTGGTGTAGTATTTGTCTTCTCTATTCATCTATATTGTTACGGCTGATAATTAGGTAATTATTGAAATATATTGTTTCCACACCTTCTCTGTGTTAATACCACTCTTCCTTCATACTATAGCGGTGTATTATTTGTCTTCTCTATTCATCTATATTGTTATGACTAGGATTCAGGTAATTATTGAAATATATTGTTTCCACACCTGCTCTGTGTTAATAACACTCTTCCTTCATACTATAGTGGTGTAGTATTTGCCTTCTCTATTCATCTATATTGTTACGTCTAGGATTTAGGTAATTATTGGAATATATTGTTTCAACACCTGCGCTGTGTTAATACCACTCTTCCTTCATAATATACTGATGTAGTATTTGTCTTTTCTATTCATCTATATTTTTACGGCTAGGATTTAGGTAATTATTAAAATATATTGTTTCCCCGCATCATGTTTTACTACTCTGTAAACTTGCCTTACTGCTTATCTTTTGTTTATCATTCATAGTCTGCTTTTCACATGTGTAGACATGTGGTGCATTTACAGTAAAAGTAGTCGCCAACCTCTACCCTCCATAATTGTCATGGCCTGTACCACATGTACTAGTAATAAGCAAAAAAAAATCATTCATAGTTTGTTCTTGCCTTAAATGAATTGCTGTGTCATCCTGAAGTTTGTCTTTCCTAATTTTCCACGTAGCAATATACAAGTATTAATACCATTTCGAAATATCGATTTTATTTTACCAGTATGATCCTAGATTGAATACTTTAATCGAGAACCTTTTCTGTCTCGTGTGAGCAATACTCTGCCACATACGTTGGCGAGACAGGTAGATCCGTTGCCATCAGAATGTCTGAACATTCTCGAAACATCTCCAATCATGACACCAGGTCCCTCCTTTATCAGCACACTCTCAATACTGGCCATCCTTTTAACACCAACCACCCCACTATACATTATAGAAACATTCATAACCAGCACCAACGATTAGTTCTCGAGTCAATAGAATCCCACAGACATAACAGCATTAACCGAAAAATAGAACTTCCAGATGCATATCATGCTCTCTTGACCTTGCAGTAATAACCTCAACAAGATAGCTAAAAATCAATATTACTTGGGTTTTGAGGTGGTCGCGTGAGCGGGTGTTTACATTGGCATATTCCCCTATAGGTTCAAACTCCAAGCATAGAAAATTCCTTATATATTAATTCTTAATATCTCTCTAATTATAACACGCCTGTAGAAGGGTTTTTTGCCCGAAAGCTTGCTGATATATCTATAATAAAAGAAACTCTTCTTCTTTATTTCGTCTTTTCGTCTAAATAATATTTTGTTTTAATTGCCTCTCGATTCTCTAAAAATCCGAACCAACTAGTGAATGCAAATAACTAAACATCCAAGATAGAGAAAATTACAACTGCTACGATAGAGATGTATGGGGACATCTGAGGCTCTTCATTGGACACGACAACAACAACAACAAGTAACTAACAGAGTCAAACGTAGCCTTTGATGTCGACGGTGGTCTATTTTTTTATTTTTTGAAGGAGACAAAGGTAATTATCAGTTCACACTAGGTTATCTATCGATTATTGCAAAAGATCAACTACACCAGTAAATGCATGCAACCAAACAGGAATTTGTCACACTAGAAAGTTCAAAAGACAAACCTTTTTCTTCATATGTAGTCATGTGGTGAAAATACAGTAAAAGCAGTCGCCAATTATCTACCATGATTATCATAGTCAGTACCACGTATACTTACGATAGGTAAAGGAGGGTCGGTGGAAGGATGGTCTAAACCATTAGTTTTTGACCTCTATGACCCGGGTTCGATTCCCGCATTGGGCACTTTTTTATGTTTAAAAAATAATCCAATGGCCCTCGACTCTTGTAACATAGCAGCGGGTGCAAGTAACCAAACGGCACATTTGTAAG